ATAAGTACTCTGGTTATTTCCATTGGCAAAGCAACCTTCTCTGTTTTCGCAATAAAGCTGTGTTGCTTTATTTACATATATTGTTTTCTCTATTGTATATGGGTATGTAGTGTGTGTGTAGGGAAAAGCAGGAAAGGAAGGGTCTCTAACATTTTTAGAGACTCCCTTCGGGGGGGCGGGAAATAGCAGGTGGGAATTATACTGACTCAGCTGTAGAGCACCTGCTATGCATGCAAAAAGCCTCAGGTTCAGAGCCCTAGCATCACCAGGTAGGAATGAAGGCAGACATCACTTTCTGGATGAGGTGGAGCTGCAACACTAGATTTCCATCAAGTAAATCTCTGCTCCCTTTGGATTTCAACCTGGGTTTAAGACCGAGGTTCATTTCAGTTGAATATATGCACTTCTAAAATGTGTTTGCTTGTTTGTGTGTTGTTTTAGAAAATTCAACATTATTTTCTTTAAAAAAAACTCGCACTTGAAGTGAAATTCTATTAAATTTCAGAATCGATCTTTCTCTCTCTCTCTCTGCACCATGAAGTCTGAGACTGCTTTTCGTTGTTGTTTTTAAAGGGGGGGGGAGAAAGAGTGGGGAGAGAAACATACATAAGTGAATGGGAAGACTTCTCTGATCTCACAGTGCAATATGAAGAGAGGCAAATTCTTATAATTTCATTCTCTCTGCAGGGGAGAAAGCATTTAGTCAGTTCCCAGGCATGGGAGCTGTCCAGCACTATGCATAGCATTCTTATTTTGAGCCAAGTCCCACTATGTCCAATGAGACTAGCTCCCCAGTAATTGTGCTTAGGATTTAGGAATGGGAGAGACATTCATTCACATCACCTTACCAATTTTACAATCCTTGAACTGTTTTAACCAAGATATTAACCGAAATCCACACTCCTCCGTGTTTTTGCAATGCTGTTTTCCAGCCTTTTAGGACAGCCAGTCTGGCATAGTGGTTAGTGTTGGGCTGGAAATGGAGAGACCCAGGTTCAAAGCATCACTAAGCTACAAAGCACAGTGGGTGACACTGGGCCAGTCAGTCTCTCACATCTTAACATACTTCAAAGGGGTGTTGTTAGGTTTTTTTTTGGGGGGGGTAAACCATATATGTAGGGACGCGGGTGGCGCTGTGGGTAAAAGCTTCAGCGCCTAGGGCTTGCCGATCGAAAGGTCGGCGGTTCGAATCCGCGCGGCGGGGTGCGCTCCCATTGCTCGGTCCCAGCACCTGCCAACCTAGCAGTTCGAAAGCACCCCCGGGTGCAAGTAGATAAATAGGGACCGCTTACTAGCGGGAAGGTAAACGGCGTTTCCGTGTGCTGCGCTGGCTCACCAGATGCAGCTTTGTCACGCTGGCCACGTGACCCGGAAGTGTCTCCGGACAGCGCTTGCCCCCGGCCTCTTAAGTGAGATGGGCGCACAACCCTAGAGTCTGTCAAGACTGGCCCGTACGGGCAGGGGTACCTTTACCTTTACCTTTTAAACCATATATGCTGCTGTGAGCTCCTCGTAGAAGGGGTGGCGTATGAGTGCATTCCAGTTTTTCTATCTGTTTCTTTATATATGTACAAATGCACACTCCATCTAAATTGTCCCACTTTATACATCTGGTGAAATAACTGCTTGCCTATGAAAACTCACACTGTAGTCAATGTGCTGGCCTTCAAGGCGCCACAGAACTCATGATGGAAGCGTGGGGAAGTGATGCACATAGAGACCTATAAGCTCAGCTAACTAGCCAGGCTACCGGCCTTGTGCCTTATTTTGAGCTAGGAGCAGCTTTACTCCCAAGGTTGTAAACAACATTCTTAAGTGTCTACATTTGACAAGAGAGAGTCCTTTGTTTCCTTGCCTAGTGAATAGGTAATGAAGGAAAGACCATACATGGTGTAATTAGTATTGTGTTGTAACTTTAAATTGGAGGAAGTTTATGCATATGTATGGCTTTAACAGATAACAGCAGGTCCCACCCTTTGGGGCTTTGCTCAGCTTTTGGAGAGTGATCCCACTGAGCCTTTATTGCTAGCAATAAACACCCTTTTGTTATTCATCAACACTGCTGGAGTTTTTCTTTTCAGCCCAGACATATATTTTGCTACAGCAGTGTTTCCCAACCTTTTTTGGGCAAAGGCACACTTGTTTGATGAAAAAAATCTCGAGGCACAACACCATTACAGCCCCGTGACGTCAGCGCGCAGCGTCACGCCGGGAGGGACGCACGAAAGTGTAACTTTCAATTTTTTCCCCTCCCCCTTGCCGGGGAACCTCCAAGCTTTGGGGGTGGGGGGGGAGGAGGCAGCAAAGCGAGGGACTGAGGGACTCCTCCAACGACAAGGGTTGGGGAAGAAGAGAAAGGGCTATTCCGCTCCAGTCACGTGAGGGGAATATGTACTGGCCCAACTGGTGTGCAGTCTTCGGAAAGCGGGGTGCGGGAAGGAAGCCTAGGCTCGGGGTCATAGAATCATAGAATCATAGAGTTGGAAGAGACCACAAGGGCCATTGAGTCCAACCCCCTGCCAAGCAGGAAACACCATCAGAGCACTCCTGACATATGGTTGTCAAGCCTCTGCTTAAAGACCTCCAAAGAAGGAGACTCCACCACACTCCTTGGCAGCAAATTCCACTGTCGAACAGCTCTTACTGTCAGGAAGTTCTTCCTAATGTTTAGGTGGAATCTTCTTTCTTGTAGTTTGGATCCATTGCTCCGTGTCCGCTTCTCTGGAGCAGCAGAAAACAACCTTTCTCCCTCCTCTATGTGACATCCTTTTATATATTTGAACATGGCTATCATATCACCCCTTAACCTCCTCTTCTCCAGGCTAAACATGCCCAGCTCCCTTAGCCGTTCCTCATAAGGCATCGTTTCCAGGCCTTTGATCATTTTGGTTGCCCTCCTCTGGACACGTTCCAGTTTGTCAGTGTCCTTCTTGAACTATGGTGCCCAGAACTGGACACAGTACTCCAGGTGAGGTCTGACCAGAGCAGAATACAGTGGCACTATTACTTCCCTTGATCTAGATGCTATACTCCTATTGATGCAGCCCAGAATTGCATTGGCTTTTTTAGCTGCCGCGTCACACTGTTGGCTCATGTCCACCGGGCGCAAGGTCCACCGACCTCGGCGGAGAAAGGCAACAACCGGAGCCGATGACCAGTGGCGTAGCGTGGGTTGTCAGCACCCGGGGCAAGGCAAATAATTTGTGCCCCCTAACCCGTGGATTTTAGCACTCGAGTGCGAGCGCCCCCCCCAAGATGTTGTGCCCGGCCCCCCTGCACCCCCACGCTACGCCACTGCTTCAGGTCCCCCAATAAAACATTTGAGGGGGCCAGTCCCCCAGTTGATGGGCATTGCCAATGTGATCAACTATGCAGGGCGGGGTTTACTTGCCTCCCCTCCCCCAATATCATACTGTATTCACATTGGCACCCCTGATGAACTCAGCGGGGCTTACTTCTGCCCCGCAAGCCTTTGCACCTCCGTGTCTCCTTTCCTCTCTATATGTAAGAGGGTGAAGGTCAGGCTGGCAGTGCAAATAAGGGCCCCGCTGCTGAAGGCCTCGCCCGCCGCGACCTCCTGGTCCACGGGCAGGGCAAGAAAGTGCCTTTTCCTTGGGGGGGGGATTCTTAAATTTCAAACCATTATTATTATTATGAATATCTAATGTGTGTGGTTTCTCTACCTCCACCGACGACTCGCCACGTGCGAGGAGGAAGGCGGGCTCCCTTCACCTCCCCGTCCCCTCAAGGGAAAGGGAAAACGACGTGAGGAAAAGCGACGCGGGACAGCGAGCGAGGTTCTCCTCAGAGCCTTTTCCCGCCGCCCCCTCGCAAGACAGCCCTGAAGCCGAGCGCAGAGTGAGGGGCGGGGCCTGGCAGAGTCTCGCTGCCCCCAACGCCTCTCGAGGCGGCATGAGGGGCGCCGCGTCAAGGCCGCCGGCGGGCGCAGCGGCAGCTCCTGTCAGGGCACGAGGCGGGCCCGGCGCCTCTCCCCCACCCACCCCGTCCGCCCACCCATATCCCGCTCAGGAGGGGCCGGTGGGCTGGCAAGCGCCTCACAGCAGCAGCACCAGAGAGGGAGAGAAGTCCGCCTCCCGCTGCCGCCGCCTCTTCATCCCCAGCAGCAACTTCCCTGCCCGGCTCCCCGCCGCCGCCGCCGCCTCCTTCTCTCCCTGCTTTGCAGTAGCAGCCACCGCCGCCGCCGCCGCGGCACACCAGGCAACATCTCGCGGAACACTAGTGTGCCGCGGAACACCGGTTGGGAAACACTGTGCTACAGAACCTCAGACCCTATGTCTGGATGTGGCCCTTTAGGCCTCTGGATGTGGCACCCAAGACTCTCCCTGGGCCATGCCACACTCCTCAGAGGCCCTGCTTGAGGGGTTTTGAACTGGGACAGTATTTCTTGCTTGCCAAGATGAACAAATGTGTGTGCAGAAACTCCTGGGATGTAGTCAGCCATGCGTCTGGTGGTCTTCAATAGGTTCTCTAAAATGGAACGTGGCCCTAAGACTGAAAAAGTTCCCTGGCCTGCTTTACTATAGCTGCTGCAAGAGACTAACCTGTTTACCTGTATACCTGAAGGAGTGTCTCCAACCCCCATCGTTCATCCCAGACACCGAGGTCCAGCTCCGAGGGCCTTCTGGCAGTTCCCTCATTGCGAGAAGTGAGGTTACAGGGAACCAGGCAGAGGGCCTTCTCGGTAGTGGCACCTGCCCTGTGGAATGCCCTTCCGTCAGATGTCAAATGGATAAAGATAAAAGACAACTGAAGGCGGCCCTGTTTAGGGAAGTTTTTAATATTTAATTCTGCATTATTTTTAACACTTGATTGGGAGCCGCCCAGAGTGGCTGGGGAAACTCAGCCAAATGGGCGACGTATGAATAATAAATTATTATTATTATTATTATTATTATTATTATTATTATTATTATTATTATTATTAATTATTCCCTTGAAAAAAAATTTAATGGTTAACTGCAATGTGTTATTCTTTACAGATTTGCGCAAGAACTTTGAGCAAGACCCCCAGGGGAGGGAAGTTCCTATTGAAGGCATGATTGTTCTCCACTGTCGCCCACCAGAGGGAGTGCCTGCCGCAGAGGTGAGGGATCATGCCCTTGGCATTTCACACACAAAAAAACAGTGTCTGTGTTGTTATGTTTGGATTCCTTTGGGTTTAATCAGGTTGCAGTGTGCATTTAAATATGAATTAAGCACTGCAAGACAGGCTTAAAAGTTTATTTAAGCCTCCCGTCCCGGGTGAATTAATATTTGTGTACCTCCTATGTATTACAAATTGAATCTTTTGACATGCTCTGAGTGTGGATATCAGCAATTGTTTCCTTTCCATTATCTCCCATTGAGAAACTATCTACTGACCATCCTGTGCCATTAACCAGTAATCTGCCCAACAAAAGAAAGGAGCCAGCCAATAGCTGTCATTAAATGACATTAAATGTCATTAAATTCTGTGTATTTGAAGAAGTGTGCATGCACTTGGAAGCTTATACCAAGAACAAGCTTAGTTGGTCTCTAAGGTGCTACTGGACAATTTTTTTATATATTAAATTGGTACTGTTGGAACATAGGAGGAGTTTTGCCATGGTAGGGATCAACACCACTCCAGCAAACTTTTCCAGAGTAACCATGAGGGGAGTTTATGATGTTTCCTTTGCACGTCTCTCCCATATCGCTGTGCTAATGCATGATGTTGCATAATTTAAGTAAAATGCTGGAAACCTCAGGAAGGGAGAATGCTGTTGTGCTCAGATCCTTCTCAATGACTTTCCATGGGCATCTGGTTGGCCACATTGCAAGAAAGAGAACATTGCACTAGATGGGCCACCAGGCTCTTCTTAGGTTCTTATGAGAGCAGCTTCCACTTTGAGTAGACAAATAGCACATCATGTACTAAAAGAGTTTCTGGGCTCAGTCTCCCCTTTCCAAGACCAGTTTTACCATGTAGTGAGTTATTTGTGTAGATCACACCTTAGAAAGGGAAGCATATTGAACAGTTGGAAGGCAAATAACAGCATGCAGTGCTTTTAGTCCTCTGAGTACTGGAAACTCCATGAAAACACTGACACATTAATTGTGTGTGGCCAGCCGAGCAGCTAAATAAAACATCTTGCCTGGATTTTGTAGTTTTCTTTTGATCATTGCCATTGATCACAAATTTCTTGCCATTCCGGCTCTTTCTTCCTTCAGTATCATGACAGACAATTACTGAAAGTGGTCAGCTTGTATCTGTAATTACTTATGCTGCAATTGCTTCCCTGAAAGATCCTCTTCAATCCTTCCCACGGAACCAACTGCCCACTCTTCAGATTAGTAATTGGGAATAAGCACAGACCGCTGTAGGTAACTGATCAGAATTCATGTACATAACCTCTCTTCATCTCTACCTTTCTATGTACACACACACACGCACACACACACATACACACACAATAATGTTGAACACAAAACTAGCAACAATAAATAGTAACAAAAACAGCATCTATATCTCACCTTCGTGTTCCCAGTTGCTTAATGTGGCACACATAATGCAACCTCTCCATTTGGTTCTCACAACCTTGTCAGGGACTGGGCAGAGGAGAAATGGTGGAGACTGCCTCCCCAGCTAGACCTTTCCAGGGAGGAGGAAGAGGAAGACAGTTTAGATTTGCAACAGGGGTTTGAGGGAGGTTGCAGCTCAGAGGCCGACGAGAGGAAAAGTTGGGAAATAATGGGAGAAGTGGAGGAGGAGGAAGCAGCAGCAGGGGGCAACAGCTGATGGACACAGTGTCTTTAGAAAACATTCCAGACCCCCCCCCCAAACCTGGTGAGCCTTGAAAATAGGAGAGCAAAGAGCTCAAAGACAGAGGGCACATAGCAGCACTCATAGGAGAAAGGACGAGAATGACGAATGAGGAAGTGGGGGAGGGTTTCACTCAGGGCAATGCCATTATCCAAGAGGCTGGGTTCTATAGCCTCTCTCTGTAAATACTGAATAAAAAGAGGATGGTAAGAAACATTCCCTTGTCTTTGCACGTTCCTCAGCAACCTGCTGGTAGTCGCTGGCAGTGGGCTGCCAGTAGGAGCGGCTGAGAGCAAGTGACAGACCCAAGGTCATATTGTAAATTTAATGACTTCATACAGATTTGAGCTTGGGTCTCCCCAGTCCTAGTGTGACACTAGGTGGTGGTGGTGTTATTTACTACAGCTAACACCCTCCCATCAGGTATGTCCAAACAGACTACTGTGGTGCCCCGCAAGACGAATACCTCGCAAGACGAAAAACTCGCTAGACGAAAGGGTTTTCCGTTTTTTGAGTCATTCTGCAAGACGAATTTCCCTATGGGCTTGCTTCGCAAGACGAAACGTCTTGCGAGTTCTTGCGAGTTTGTTTCCTTTTTCTTAAAGCCGCTAAGCCGTTAATAGCCACTAAGCCGTTAATAGCCGCTAAGCCACTAATAGCCGCTAAGCCGCTAATAGCCGTGCTTCGCAAGATGAAAAAAACCGCAAGACGAAGAGACTCGCGGAACGGATTAATTTCATCTTGCGAGGCACCACTATATTCCAGAATTGTGTGTGTGTGTTCATTCGGTGTATATTTCCAACCTAAGAACAAGGCCTAGCCCGGTGCCCTCAGAGTTATGAACACAATTATTCATGACCATAGTCCATGCATCTGGGTCCAATGTGACTTGTAGTCCAAAACATCTGGAGGGCACCAGGTTGGGGAAGACTGATCTAGGTCAATATCGTATACTTTGGTTGGCAGCAATTTTGCATGGTCTCTTCCGGTGGTTTTCCCCAGAACCCTACTACCTGATCTTTTCAGGGACTGGACCTGCATGCAAAGTATGGTTTCAACCACTGAGCAATCCCCCACCTGCTTCCTTGACGATGTAAGAGTTGCTACCTGGTACAGAGATAATTGATGGTGGTGGTGCCTTTAATGTACAAGCTCCATGAACAATATTAAATCCTCCTTTTTGCAGATTGGGACTGTAATTGGGGTGCCCTTAATAAACCTCAGTTGGGAGCAGTAACGGTTCTGAAGACCAGTTACTGGAAACTGCAGGTGGGGAGACTGCTCTTGTTCTTAAGTCCTACTTGCAGGTTTCCTACAGACATCTGGTTGGTCATCATGAGAACAGAATATTAGACTGGCTGGGCCCTTGGCCTGATCCAGCAAGCTCTTCTTCTGTTCTTATTCAGCCTGATTGCCAGTTTTCTCTCTGTGGACACAGCTGGAAAAGCAGTGGTGCTTGTGTTACAGCAGGCTGTTGGTTCTATCTATCAGCTCAGAGCTGGAGCTTTGGGCCAGCAATTCCATCTGTGCTGTGGTAAGTTTACTCTCCAACAAGACTTAGAGCCGCATCTGCGCTGCTGCTATTTAGGTACACATTGATAGAGAGAGAAACTGATCTAAACCAGAGGCTGCTTGCTTCTCATCTCAGTCAAAATCACTATGGTATCTTATTAATTGGGTGGACAGAAGAAGCCAGAGAAACAATAAAACTCTAAAGAACAAGCAGCACATTCTGTTCATTAGTCAGAGGGCCTGCTGAGCACATGCCATTGGAAACTAGTTTATATGATGAGTAATGAGGCAAACTGGGAGGAGGAAGGCAAAAAAAGGAAGAAAGGAAAAAGATAACCAACTACTCCAAAGAATAAGCTTCCAGCTAGCTAGGAGTAGCAAAACCGCTGAATAGAAATGAGAAGAGGAAATAAAATGTGTGTCTAAGAGCCAAACCACACATTATGTTAAATGCATGATTGCATTTAACACCAGTGGTTTTGTTGCCATTAAGTAGCATCTGCAGGGGGCCGGAATCAGGATTGTGATCATTTTGTGCAGAGAGGGTGTGTGTAAACTGTTTTCTCACGCTCCCATTTCCTCTGCATCCGGCGTGCTCCCACCACTGTTTAGGGAAGCAGTGTAGACATGATGCTAGCCATAATCCACATCTGTTGTCCTGCCGTTTCTTATGATATACTGTGTTTTGATGTGATTCTCTCCAAACCAGTTTCGATCCGGAATGAGGAAAGGAACAACTGAGCTGCATTTTCAGCTGCTAAAGGGCACACATCCCTTGATGTCAGTTCCACTTTTCCTCTTCCAGCAAATTGCTTTTAGGGTGGGGCAGGGACAAAAATGGCGCAGTCAAGTTGGGTCTTAAGCTAGTTCAGCTATTGGACCTGGTGCAGCAAAATTCAAGGATTTTCCTGTGCTCCCTGCACCTTCCGCCTTCGCTGGTGGAAACAACAGAACTCTGGATATGGCAGTAGCTTCACCACTCTGTTAAGCCCCACTACTGCCCACCAGGGATTTGAATTGCTGCCTAAAACATTCATTCAATGATCAGAAGGACCCATCCACATCTGGAGGGACAGTTTAGGAGCCACACAGTTACAGTGGTGTTGGCTTAACCACAGTCATTAAATGGCTTCCCAAGATGGAAGAGTTCATATAATCTTCCAATTTGGGCTATGGCAATTCACCAAGACAATAGTCTCCTTTAGTTACGTGGACTTGGTACATAAAAGGTATAACTGACACAGAGCTCTCATTCAATCTTATCATGAAGACAGGAAGAAATAAAATAGCTGAGATGTTATTAGGTAGAGGATTAAAAGCTGTTAAAATCAGCCTCCCCTTCCTATAAACTGTGCATATATTAATGCTGTAATGTCCGGAATGGCTTCATCAAACCCTCACACCATCCCAGGAGTTAACCCTTGTGGCTGTTGAGACAGAGCCCACTTGACTACTTTCAGATCAATTCATTATTTCGAACTATAATACTTTACATTTACCAGCTAAATGGAAAATCTGTCTTTCATAAAAGTTAGGAATGATGTCTGATAAAAAAGGCGACATTTTAATGGCTTTCTGCAGATTAAAATGGCGGAGTTCTCAATAAACCCTGATTTACTGGTGTTAGTTGTAAAATGGTTATTGCTGCTAATAAAGTCTGTAAATCCTAACTGGTCATATTTGCTCTGGACAATAAAACTTCCCATAAAGGCTCAGTGTATAAGGCTAATTCTCTCTTCACATCAAGGTAAGCAGTCTACTCAGAGTAATAATTCATAACCTTTGGAGAC